AGAGAGGCCAAGACCCTCCGCACCAGCGGGGGAGAGGCCGGAGCCCCCCACGAACCCAACCGCGAGGAGGGGAAGGACACACACACACACACACCCCCAAAACCAGACGGGGCGCGGGGGCTTCCCCGCAGCCGGGGGAGGGGGAGATGGGGACGGCAGCGGGGCCGTTCTCACCTACGGGCCGGGGCCAGGGCGGCGGGAAGTGCTTCCGGGTGGCCGCCGGAAGTGTCCGCGTTGCCGTGGTGACGGGGCCCGGCCGCCATGGCGGTGCCGAGCTGGCTGGAGAGGCTGCGGGCTGCCAGCAAGACAGCGCTGGTGCAGGACGGTAACCGCGGTGGCGAGACGGGGTAGCCCCCCCTCCTCCTTCCCCGCGGCCCCCCGACGTGTTTTGGGGTGACCCTGCAGCGAGCGGGCGGGGACGGAGCGCTCCCAGGGACGGCCCTGCACCCGGGACAGGGCCCCGGCAAAGGACACTGGACCATCAACGGGGGGACACGGCCCCAGACAGCGGGACGGGGCCGTACAGCCAGGGATAGGTGTATTCCCATTTACCCTCATTGCCTGCCTTGCCTCTAGGGAAGCGGAAGATCCACTACCTGTTCGAGGATGGGAAGGAGATGGCCGAAGAGTACGATGTGAAGACCGGTCAGCTAGTGAGTAAGTGGTGCTCTCAGCTGGCCCACAGCAGGCGTGGGTCAGGGCACAGCCGTGGTATGCATGGCAGCAGGTCTGCACTCGCAGGACTGGAGTGTTGGGAGGGACCTCGTAGTAGGGAATGAATCGCCCCTAAATATTCTAGGAGATAAGCATGCCTGTAGCGGAATGTTGTAGAAATGTAAGTATGGTTCAGTGTGGGCCAAGGCCTCTCTGACTTCCGTGACGTAGCAGACCTTGCTTTATCCCAGGATCTCTCCCAGACAGCTCATCTGTCACAACAGACTTGGATGGACTAAATGGGATGGCCATCTTGCATAGGCAGGCACAGAGGCTGTAGCACATGCTGCAGTGAAATATGCTTTTTGGTGGCTTCTGCAACTGCAAACAAGCAAGGTGTTGGTTATGGCTCTTGTCCAAAACCATATCAGCTGCAGCATGGCACCTGTTGCAACCCCACCATGGCTTCAGCACCAAGTAACAAAAAAGAGGCATGCTCAGTACAGAATTTCTGACTTCAGGAATAGGTCAGCTAACAGATCCACTCACACCAAAGAGGAAATGACTGGAATTAAGATACATATCTTCATATCATCTCAGTGTGCTGGGCAGCTTTGGCAGTCATGTGCTGGAGTTCTTCTTATAGACCAGAATAATGAAAACCCTTCTTCTCCCTTCCACAGGTAGAAAATGGCGAGAGAAGAACACCCTTGGGGGCTCCGGCAAGTGGCAGGTTGAAGTGGGAGAGCCAACCTCACCGCTCCTGGGACCACTGGAGTTGGAGCTCATAAAGGAAAGCAGCTCCAACGTATGTAAGGGTCTGCAGGCATAACTGCACCTAAAACTACCTAGTCTTGTGCTTACAGCAGTAGCTGGTAGACTGCAGATCACTCAGCCCCAAGAGACAGCCTTAACCTGCCCAGCACTCTACTACATCACCAAGCTGCAGGGCTGGGTAGAAAGGAGGCACAGTGTAGGTTCTTTTGGGGTCTTGCAAGAGATTTGCAGTTTCCTTAAGTAGAGAAACTGTACTGCTGTGTTGGCCAACTACTATTCTGGCTTCCAAAAGAGTAGGCTGAAAGGAAGGCCAGTGCCAGGACAAGTCAGTGGGTGGAAAGCAGAGGCAATGACAGTGAAAGGCCAACACAGGTAGTGCCTAGCAAGCTGCTCCTTAACACAGCACAGACTGTTTCATCTTCACATCCCTCTAGCTTAGGGGTCAGAGGTTTTAGTCTTTCACCAACTTTTCTACAGACCTGAAACACAAGCACAGCCCTGCACAGCAAATTGGGGAAGAGCCAGGACTGAATTCAGCAGGTCCCTAGGGTAGGCAGAGCTCAGTATTCGGTTGCCTGTGAGGAAGAGGCTTGGTTTCCCTGTAACCCTGTACCGCAAGACTTCCTTGCTGAACACTTTTAGCCTCCTACAAGCAGGTCAGGCAGTGCCCTGGGTAAAGGCAGAGCAGTGCTAGCTCCAGGAAAGTGATGCCTAGGCAGTTTCTTGAGTTACTCCTGAATACTCCAGTGTGAAAGAGCTACTCCCACATGGAGCCTCTCAATGTAGTACAGGAAGAAGGGACAGGGAGGAGAGGAGACAGCTGGAGGGGCCTTGCTAAAGGTACTTGTTTGCTGTAGCCTGTCTTCATGAGGAAGGATACCCTGAGCAGCTTCCAGTGGCGGATCCGTAACCTGCCCTACCCCAAGGAGGTCTACAGCGTCTCTGTGGAGAAAGAGCAGCGCTGCTGCGTCATCCGGACCACCAACAAGAAGTCAGTAAGGACAGCACTGCCAGTGCTGATGGTCCCTTGGGGTGGGCTGGCACAGAGGGCAGGCTAGTGATTGCACAAGGGGGTTGTCCTCTCTTCCCTTCTCTCCCTAGCATGCAAGGGCTGAGGGGCCCCACCTCGCAGCTGCATGTCTCCTGCTGTCCAATTTCCACTCCCAACTGCCCCAGACATGTTTACAGTAGAGCGCCTCAAGCTTTCCACTGGCCTTTGCAAATTTACCTCATGGTTCCAGTAGCATGATGTTTGCTCTGTTCTTTCCCTGTCAAATGTTGCTCCCTTAGAAAAATACAGAGCCTTGCAGACCTTTTGAAGCTAGAGCATCCCATCTTCTCCCTCTGACACGATACTTTGATCTAGTCATTGTATCTCAGAACTCATGGGGATGCAGGATTCAACAGGTACAGCAAAGTCATGGGCACCCAGGCAGACAGATCTCCCTGCGTAAACCTGTACTGTAGTCACAATGCCAATGATATGATGTGGAGGTAGCAAGAAAAAAAGGCAGACTGCATCTGGAAAAAAAACACCACAACATTCTGCCAAAAGAAATTTGAGATGGGAGGAAAAAAAAAGGAAAGGCTTTTAAGCATCATCTTATACTGTGCCACTACATGGCATCTCTCATGGGATGAGACACACACTGTGGCCCGAAGCTTTTACAGGCTCAGTGAGATAAGCCAGGATGAGCAGTAGTATTGGGAAGAGAGAGCAAGGAGCAAGTATTAGAACAAGGGAGGATTTTGGAAGATAAGTGAAAGCTATTTACAAACTGGGATAATACACCAGTATGGAAAGCTGGGCAGGCTGCTCTCTGTTTGCCTTCCCTCCCCAACATTGCTGCAGAACAGAGAAGGGTCAGATTCATGGGTAAAATCAACCCCAGTGTTTCCCAATTTGCCCCCTGCCCTCTTCAAGCCGCTCTTGGTAGCTGGCTGTAGGTGGTGCTGTTGGCAAATAACTGCTCCACTTTGGCCGCTGAACGCCTTTCAGATGGCAGAACCCGTATGTCTTCAGGCAAGGGTTTACCCCGTCAGAGGCAGTGGCAAGGAGGTGTTTGAGCTCTGCACATGAGCACACCTGGATGCTCAAAAACAGGAGGAGGCTAGACAGGAGGAAGAGGGCATCTGCCCCATGAAAGCAGCAAGCAATTACAGCTCTAATACAGAAAGATGCTGGCCTGAATCCACACAGAGGGTTTCACAGGAGAAGAGTGGCACTTTAGGAGGGAGACCTATGTAGCAAAGATGAATGAGGTTCCCATCAGCCACACGTGGATACACATGGAGCTAGGACAGGGAGGGAGTACATGAGCCTAAGTCCAACCACATACTATCACAGACAGGCTTAACTATTCCCAATCCTAATAGTAGTGTGTATGTGAGAACTTCCTTGCCTGTGTAGGTGCTGTAAAGTTATAACGTACCACTGAGGCTTCACCTATGCCCTACCTGACTTCAAGTTTTTTGTACTACTCCCAGGAAAACACTAGAGTTCCGCACAAGCAGTTGATAACTGCACACTCATAGGCTAGTGTCAGAGAGGGTTGAAGGACCTTACAGTGGCTCATGGCCTGCATACGAAAGTTAAGGACTTTTGGACTTAAAGCTGAAAGCTGCCTTACTGGGAACAAGAACGACTTTGCTGTCAGTAGGGAACAGGGACAGACTCCAGCACCAGAATACTTAGTACAGGCTCCAGGACATCTTACATCATTTCTCCTGGGTCTCGGCCAGGGCAAAGCACCACTCAGCAACTAATTCCAAGATAGCAACAAAGGCATGGAGTCACAGAGAGAGTGCGCATCACTACGGGAAAGAAAGGAAGCCTCGGAGCCTCTCCAGTCGTTGGAAGTCAGCCACGCTGCTTCTGAGCAACAGAGCTGTGCTGACCGCCAGCCACAGGCACAGCAACGGGATGGGTTGCCAAGTCATTACTGAGTAGCTCAGCTCTAAATTCTCAGCATACCAGTAGCAGTTTTCCCTACAGGCTGACAAAAAGTGGGTTTCCAATAGGAAAATAGTGGAGGTGACTTCACATACGCGTTGTGGGTCTCAGGGCAGGACCCAGGCTCAGAGTGCAATACTGCCCTTGGCCATGGGGTGAGAGGCGAGGGCAGAGAATGTGCCTGCCTCAGCAGGGATAACCGCCCATCAGCTGCCTTCCCAGCCCAGCCAGAAGCTCTTCACTGCTACCAGTCACTCCCGTTCCCTCTGGCCACGGCAAGGGCTGCTCAAGTGGGATTTGTCTAAAACCTCTTGCTGTAAAATAAATCCATTAAACTAAACTTTAAAAACAAACCCAGAAAGCAACCTCCCCAAACACCAAACCTGATTCAATTATTGTAGTGAGAAGCAGTGGTAATGTTAGGAGGAGGAGGGGGTGGCCAGGCAGATCTTGTTTCCTTTGATCTTGTCACAGATTTTAGTTTGAGGCCAGCCAAAGCCATTCTTCTCCCCTTCTCCTTAGTCCTGGGGCAGCAGAATGCTGCTGTTTCATTGATGACTCCCAAGGCCCTTTGAAACAGTGTTTTTTTTCTGTGTACTGCTTTTTTTTTTTGTCTAATCGGTAAGAAGTTAACACTTCCTTAACATGTCTTTGTGTTCATCTAATCTCTGCTGTTTAACCTTTGACATCTCCCTTATTATCCATGTCTGCCACCTTTTCCAAATACCGACAGCAGTGACAACACAGAACGGTTTGAGCCCTGCGGTAACAAGCTGCGTACATTCCTCCCACTGCACCAGGAGAGCCATTTGCCCTTTG